CACACACACACACACACACACACACACACACACACACACACACACACACACACACACACGCGCTCGCACACACACACACTCACACACAGGAGCAGAATTATTGTTCAGAGTTTCATGTGAAGTTGTATGCCAAGTAGTTAATAGTGGCATAGTATTGACTTAACTTATATAATTTTATCAGGAATAATTATCTAATTAACTGCTGCCGAGGCTGACTCATGGCCTTTTATAATAAAAAGCACAAATAATTATCATTTGGGGTTTTGGAAATACGTGTAATGCACCCCACGCAGAGGGAGCGAATACCTAATACTGATACGCTTCAGCTGAGGGAGGGTGCGACAGGTTCCTTGAACCGTCCTTCAGAGGTTTTCCTGCCCTTCTTTATGAATTGTGGAAAAGCAGAGGAGACAAGGGAGGGATTGGGAGCCTAGCGAGGGGGAATGTCCAGGTACGAGCTTGTCGAAGCCGAGTGATTCCAGCAGCCCAAGATTGGGTTGGGGCTTCCATGAGCATGTTGAGGATCGTGGGATGGCGGGGCTAGGGGGCCGTCGTAGCAAAAAACTCGATCCAGTCTTCCAGATTTCAGCTCTGTCATCCGCGTGCCCCCACAGGTTGGGATGAGGATGGTGTGTGTTGCCGCCGGGTAGGGGAAGAAGTGAGGGAGGACAAAAGGTGGACCTTGTGGAATGCAAAGGTGGCAATTTTGGGGTGCTGCATGGGCGCCGTTTGTAATTGTACAAGCCTGCGAGGGTTTTGTCCGCAATTCGTCTGGATGGTCAGGACTCAGGACTCAGGACCCCTTCTTCCATCAAGGGGCTTAGGCAGGATATGTGAGCGCTGGGTTACGGAAGTGGGACTTGCCCCCCATGTCTTGATTTGGCCATGCGCCCTTGTTTTTGCCGAAGCGACCTGGCTTAGCTCTCTATGAAATGGCTCGATGCGGAGTCTGGAGGAAAGTCCTCTTTTCTCTTCTTCCCTTCCCCCCTCCTCACCCTCGCCCCCCAAATCTACGCGGGTCTGCTAGCGGGCGTGATAAGATCCTCTCTCTCTCCCTCTGGCGGGCCCGTCCCTAGATGCTCCCCGGTATGTTGGCGGGGAGCGGCACCTGGTGGAAACCCGGTCCATTGGAGAAAAGTCCTCCTACGGTAAACAAGAAGATGAATCCTACAGTGAATAACACAGACAGGTGGTGTTCTTAATTGTATTGAGCCTCCCCACATAGTTTCGATCCAAATACAGATCTTGATTCCAGTTGGCACCGCAATAACCCCATCGTTGCTGCAGTGAAATAAGCTTGCATGACTTTGCGTCAATTCATTCACTAGCTTCCTAATGGCATGGGACTTGGATTTGAACCTCTATGCGGCCTTGGGCCCGTTTATGGTTGGAGCCCTTGGCAGAGAGAATTCGAAGTCTGGAGGAGATGGGACTATGGGACCTTGGGCCCGGTTGCGGTTGCAGCCTGTGGCAGACGGAAGGCTGGCTGATGTACTTTGGCAAAATAGCAGCGCTGGAGGGGAATTGAGATATAGATAGACCGTTTTGTTATTATAGCCTTATAGCACACACACTGTGGGATGCGACGAGTGGGAACGTTCGCTTTTCTTTTTTCCCCTTTCCCCTTCAAACATCAACCACGGGTGTTGGGGACGTGCTGATAAGAGCAGACGCCCCTTCCACGTACCCCCTTTGCGGATGGCTCCGTTCCATTGGTGGGGAGCTGCACCTGCGGCCCCTTACAGTGTCAACATGGAGCCCTAGTTACCCTTTTTTTTTTTTTTTTTTTTTTTTAGTTACCCTCGCGCTTCGCGGGAAGTTATACTATTGATTGAATAGAAGCTTTCTAGAGTCGTTCTTGGTCTTTGAAGGCAGACGAAACCCACAAAATCCACAAAGCCCACAACTTGGAAAGCTACTTATAAGGTATAGATAGGGTCTCTTTGCAGGGAGGACCCTCTTCAGCGTAGTAGATGCTGTGCAACGCAATTGCCGCCATTCCCTCCATCATGCTTACATCTGTCTCTTATACACATCTAGATGTGTATAAGAGACAGGCCCTAGTTACCCTTTTTTTTTTTTTTTTTTTTTTTTTTTCCCTCGCGCTTCGCGGGAAGTTATACTATTGATTGAATAGAAGCTTTCTAGAGTCGTTCTTGGTCTTTGAAGGCAGACGAAACCCACAAAATCCACAAAGCCCACAACTTGGAAAGCTACTCAAGGTATAGATAGAGTCCCTTTGCAGGGAGGACCCTCTTCAGCTAATCCACAAAGCCCACAACTTGGAAAGCTACTTATAAGGTATAGATAGGGTCTCTTTGCAGGGAGGACCCTCTTCAGCGTAGTAGATGCTGTGCAACGCAATTGCCGCCATTCCCTCCATCATGCTAACATCACATCACATGGAACAGCACTGCAACAATGGTTTTTTTTTTTTTTTTTTTTTTTTTTTTTTTTTTTTTTTTTCCGGGGGGGAAAAGGCGGGGAGGCGCGCCTGGGGGGGGAACTGTAACAATGCGTTTGTGTGTCATTGCTAGTTTAACTCCCTCAGTAGAAATAAACAGTAAAAATACCAACCGAAATACGGTTAATTGCCACAGTAACATATTTTCCACAGTAAAAATAGCGACCGAATACAGCTCAGCGATTTTTCTAACAGTTGTGGATCATCTGTGGTGTAGCTTCTTGACTCAAGGGTTTGTATTTCACTCCCTTTCTTAGGGTTCTTTTCACCTTTCCCTCACAGTGCTTGTACACTATCCATCGCTGAGGAATACTTAGGCTAAGGGTTTTGTTATGGGTAGCCATTTTTTCTAAAGTTTGTCTACGTAATTAATAATTTTGAATTTTCTGAATAGCTCGAAATGTTCTTAGCCAAAGCCGGGCAACGGTTATGGCTCCGGTATCTCAAAATTTCCAATTCTCTGTAAATTTCCATATGGGACGCTGGGCCCAGTTCCCAGCACGTGTTGCTCCCGGCGAATAGATTGGCGCCTTGACGCATTTATTATTATTAAAAAAAAAAAAAAAAGGTCGAGTAAACTGGCACAGTCAAAAAAGTGAAACAACAAACAAACAAACAAACAAACAAACAAACAAACAAAAGAAGAAGAAGAAGACAAAGAAGAAGGAGAAGAAAAGAAAGAAAGAAAGAAAGAAAGAAAGAAAGAACAGAACAGAAAGAAAGAACAGAAAGAAAGAAAGAAAGAAAGAAGGAATGTCAAAGAAAGAAAGAAAGAAAGAAGGAATGTCAATGTTGCTCCCCACCAATAGATGGAGCTGTTTGTTTGTCAACAACAACAAATATATATAGTTCTATAATAAAAAGAATAACGATAAATGATTGTACTGAATGTAAAAAGAAGAATCAATAACATCATAAATAATGAAATTCATATACATATACCTGTCTCTTATACACATCTAGATGTGTATAAGAGACAGGAGTAGGGGTGCACCAGGGATAATTGACGAGAG